CCTATAACCTGCTCTGATACCAATTGTAAGTACGAAGTGCGCCTAAGAGGGGGGGTGAATTAGGTACTTTAAAATTTTTCTGGTTTTAGTGATGATGGATATTATTTTTCTGGTTTATGGTGAGTTTATGAAAGAGTAAAGTGCAGAAAAATAAAGAGACACAAGCGAGATATCATGGATCCCCTCACAGTCCGAGAGTACTCCAGTCCCCTTTCAACATGAAAGAGATTTCCTTATAGTTGGCAAACTTAAACAAGAACTACCAAAACCAAGAACAATCCTCTTGGACCAAGAACAATCCTCTTGGATTTTCACTATGTCAACAGTGAGAACAATCCTCTTAAGGTGACCTTACTTGTTTCTAACAATCCTCGAAAACAAGAGTACAAAAACCACTAATCTTATTTTCAACAATCCTGAAAAATAAGAAAGTGTACAACAATATTTTGATTGAGTGAGTGAGTTTGTAGAGAAATAATCACTTTGAGCGATTTTATCAATAACTTGATCTTCTATTCCAATAACAATGATATACAATGACTCAAGACTTAGATTGCTCAAAGTTTTCTGTTATACAAGATATGAAAATATGCAGAAAACTTTTTGAATGAAAGTGAAAAAGGCTTGAGTTGAATATTTAAAAATTCAGAAAAATATTGAATGGAAGAGATTTTTTTATTTTGAAATTTCAGTATTTATATGTTCATAGCACCCCTTTGAAACAACATAAGTTTCTGTAAATTAATCATGAACAATTGTCAAGATTAAATGAAAAGATTCCATGAAGTGGTGTTATGAAAAGATATGTTCAAAGCTGTTATTTTTCAAAAATGTTCAGCATGCAATCAATTGCACCCTTGATACAAATCAACTGCACGAGTTCTAACAGCCAGAAAATTAAAATATTTTCAGTGAGCAATCGATTGAACAAACATGCAAATCGATTGAACTTTAAAACAGAGGCATTTTTAACCAGAGATAAATCGATTGCACTCTTGTGTAAATCAATTGCACTAAGAAAAAAAAGCAAAACAGCTGAAAATGTGAGTCATACAATCGATTCCACCAACATGTAAATCGATTGCACAGAAGTAAAAATAGATTTTTTGCTTAGAAAACTTGAGAAAAAGTTTGGACAAGTTTTAAAAACTTCTTTTGATCATTGAGAATCTAAGACTTAAGTTCATAGAAAGATTTGTTATTATACCTTGTGAAATTTGCCAAGAGCTTGAATCGAAGACTTTTATCCATTGATGCTTTAGCTTGATCAATACCTTTTCCTTCTTGTCATTATGGTTTGTCTTCATCAAAACAAAGTTCATTGAGAGGCTTGATATTACAAATAGACCCCCAAGTAAAATTACCTTTTAAAAATATGTAGTTAAAATTCATTTTGAAAGACAATATTGCGTGGAAGATTTTTAACCTAGATCAAAAAAGTCGTCTAAACGAACCTAGTTATTAAAAACTTAGATATGTGAAATTCGTATGGAGTAAATCAATTATAAGAATAACCAACACAATTGTTTCACAATTAATCATTTATAACAAATCACTACATCCACCTATATCCAATGCAATTGTATAAAAAAATAGAACTTCACAATTTATCGAACACTTGGCGTGCGATCAATTTTTCAGATTTTCTTTTGAGCTTTGTTGATTTGAGAACAACACTTGCAATCAAAGTGATTATAAGTTAATCAACAAAGAAATTTAAATTTTAACAATTAAAGAAAAATTAATCAAACACCAAGTTCAACAAATTACATATAGAAAGTAAATGAGAGCAATAGAGAGAGAGGGGGAGAGAATGACACAAGGATTTGTTTATAAAGTTCATCAATCGTCCTCGTTATGGCTACGTCTCTCCCCAATTCTGTTTTAGAGTTGAGATAAATTTCTTACTTTGCAAAAAGTATTGTTTATAAGAGAAATGTGGCAATGCAGTCCTACAAACTCAATGTTTGATGTTGATCCTACAAAGTTCCCTTCCCTTGATCTTAACTCGATCGAGTCACCCAATAAACCAATTCGATCCACCGTCTCGCGCTACTAGTTTGTAAGAAACCATTGTTCTTCAAAATTTTCACTCGGTCGAATCCGAATTGCGAATTGTTGTAACCTAAGATCTACCAATTTGATTCACTGTCTCATGCTACTAGGTTTGCAAAAAACCCCCGTTCTTCAAATTCTTCACTCAATCGAATTCAAATTATGTAGCCTTGTCAAAAACCTTCGGTTCACCAAGATCTAGAAGGAAAAATCCAACTCGATTTTCTTATTGAAATAACTCCCAAATCCACAATGATCTTAGAGGACAAATACTCGGTTTTTCCTGATGAAATCCACCACAATTCTCAATCCAATATTCTCAGTTATACAAACGTAATTGGACATTATCAAACCTCGTCTAGATGGCATCCCAACAAAAAATGATTATGTGTACTTTGTTAGTGGGTATGCATATGTTAGAGGTTGAAGATGAAGAGCAATGGTGTTATGTGTTTATAGTTTCATCAAATTGAAATGATGCATGTATGATGTATTTATAGTTGTGGAACTTTGGTGGCAAATAGAAAAACTTTAGAATTAAAAAATATGAAAATTTTGACTCAAACAACAGTATGTACCAGCGTGAAAATCGGATGTGCCGGCACATAGAGTTAAAAATTTCAGTATGTGCCAACTTGAAATGAGTTATGTGCCGACACATACAAAACAAAAGCTACAGACTTTAATAATGCAGTACATGTGCCGGCGTGAAAATCGTATGTGCCGGTGTATAAACCTATATTTTTAAACATAAATGTTGTATGTGATGCAGGCTTTAATATTTAAGCACATGTGTCAGCGTGAAAATTGTACGTGTTGGCGCATGAAACTGATTTTTGTGCAAAAAATAATTTTTCATAATTTTTATCAATTTCAAACTTGTTTTAAATATTTACTAAGACTTTTAATATAAAATTGTACTAAACGACACAAAGATATTGTCCAATATAAATACATAGTAAGTTTTTCTAATCTTAACATTATATAAAATATTTAATGGCAAAATTGCATTCACAATATTGTTTGTTCGAAAATGTACCAAAGATAATGTTTTCATTTGTGAGTTTCATGCTACCAATCGCTTTATAAAATTACAGGTTTTTAAGCAAGTTTTTTCTTGAAAGATTTCTTGATGCTAGTGGCTTCTATTTCTTCCCACACATTCAATTTCCACCTCAAAGCTCTAATGGCTTAGTATCTCTTGCTTCTAATAATTGTACATCTTGTTATATGTCTCTTTTATTTGGTTACATCTCATATGATGATAGGTCTCTGAAATTATAGGTTAGGCCTTGTTAATTTTCAAATAGTCAAACATGTTATTTATATATGCAATACCAAAATTGATTAAAAATAACCCTCTGATTTGTGGTTCATGTTATTTAGGCAAGTCGCATAGAATTCACTCCTCTACTTCAATTAACATCTATAATGCATCATTTGATTTTGTTTACATTGATCTTTAAGAAAATGCACATGTTACTTTTAAAAGTGAATAGCAGAGCTATAAATGGTAAAATGGATGAGTTTGATGGATATAAATTGAATTATTAATAGATGGATCAAAATAATCTATCACTCTATTAATAATTCATTAAAATGTCTTTAAAAATATTCAGTCAAACTCATTCATTAAGGATAAAATACAGCAATTAATATATTTTTAGTGGATAGATATTCATTCATCTAAAAAATTGTTTTTTTTTTAATTTTAGAAAAAAAATTATATTTTAGAAAAAAACATTTTTTTCAAAATAATCAATTTTTTTTTATTGAGAAAATTTTGATTTTTTGTATTTTCCAAAAAATAGTTCTTTTTTTGAAAGAAATCAAATTTTTTCATTTTTCAGGAAAGAACAGATTTTTTTTTTATATTTCAAAAAAATATGATTTTTTTGTATTTTTGAAAGAAAATGTTTTTTTTTGTATTTTTCAGAAAAAATTGAATTTTTCGGAAAAATCATCTTTTTGTTTTTTTTTTCAAATTATTTTTTTGGAAAAAAAATCAATTGTTTTTATTTATTTAAAAAAATCTTTTTTTTTTATTTTCGAAAAACATTTGTTTTTTTTTTATTTTGGAAAAAATCACTTTTTTTTTGTATTTTTTAAATATATATACCTAATGAAAGTAAAAATAATTTATTAAATCATTAAAATATATTGAATAAATTTAATCCAATTCATTAACATATTTTTTATTTTTATGTTGTAGATAAATTTTTTTAGTAGATAAATTAGATAAATTTCGTCTGACTAAATTCAATTGTCATCCCTAAACAGAACTATATTAGCTTTATTGTTGTCTCCACAAAGTATTACTTGGATTCATTTTCTTAGGCTCAAATCTTATGTTAGAATTTAAAATAGATATGTTGAAAAGAAGAACAAACAAGTTATGGAGATGAGCCTCACTCTCCTTGCACATGTATCTGTTCTACTATTTTATTGTGATCACAGTTTTACCATGGCAGTCTAGTATTTGATCTCTCGTAACCTTGATATGCCTTGCATAAGAAACTTCCTACCTACAAGTCACCCAAAGTGTTTGGTTGCTTATGTTTTCCTTTTCCTCAGACATGCAAAAAATGTACAACATAAGCAAATTTCCAAATCCGCAATTTTGTCATGATCTGTTTATGCGTCACCTGTACGCTAAATTAACTCTCATCACTCCACGTTCTATAACATCTCATCACGCTGTTATTTTTCTCTAATTGTTATTTTTCAAAACTAACTAATCAATGCATCATCAAATTAAATCTCACTTTAAGTCCAAAAAAAAATTCATAAAAGGACAAAAATAAACCGCAAGCTAAATAATCAAATCAATATTAAACCATCGTTAATTAAAGAATTAGCTACTTAAAAACAATCGCTAAACTAATGATTCTCAGATTCATGAAATCTAATCAATGGCACGATCGATCATCTTCTAGCGTCTTCTCTTACAACGAATCAAACACGAGTTTTCTCGCACACGGTGATTTCCGTTTCATTCGTTTCGGTGGTATGAATTTCTTCTTCCGCGGTGCACCTGGACATTCATGAATCCGTTTGATAATGCGATCTGGAGGAGTCCTGAATCCATCATTGTTGTTATCATCCTCCACAAACGATTGAGTTTCCTCGACATTTCTCAACTCTTGATAAAGAAGATGCTTGATCCTTACCGGTTGCTCTTGCAATATCGATCGTTTCGTGAACCGAATAGACGAGCGCAATTCCGCTGGAATTGCATCTGCGTCTTCGATTCCGTCTTGATCAGGGAGTGGCGCTGGATAATTTTCCATGAAGAACTAATCGGAAAACGATAATGCGAAGGAAAACCAAAATGTATAAAAATGTGAAGAATTTTAGAGTTAGCTATTTCTTTCAATTATATAGTGTAGATTAAACTAAACTCGATTGAATATTGATTTAGAAGATTTAGTTAGAAATAAGGTAAGAAATTGTGATCATGTGAGTAAACGTAATTAATGCTCTAAAATCTTTACTAATTAAATTTATAAATATTTCTATCAAAAATATTTGAAATATATTACAACATTGACCGTTTTTAACCACGTGGCTCAAGATAGAATCTTGTATCAACATTCAATACATAAAAAATAGTTGATGCATTGATAGTGTAATATAATTTTATATTGTCAACCAATCATAATTATTGATCTTATCGGAATTAGAAGGATCTTTGTGGCATGTAACACTTGGGCTTTTGTTGTGATGAAGGAAAAGTGGGATACCTGTAAGACACTCTAATGTCAAAATAAAGTTCAGAGTAAAAGTGCAAGTATGAAGTTAGAACGAATAGAATAGTGTACTTGACCCTCTAGTGAAATAAGGTATTTAAAGCCCACAACGCTGAGCCAAGATTCTCATTTTGGGCTGGATGCCCATGCCCATAATGGAGACTGTCAGGATCATACGTGGATAGAGTAGACCAGTTTGTGGTCTCTATCTTGGTCCAACTGCCCCGTGGTTCTCGGTGGTAGACTCGTTCTTTTCGGGAGCAGGACGACTCCTTGATATTCGGAGGAACGTTGATCATGTATCCTTGGCGGGAACGTAGAGGATATGACCTTGGCAGACACGTGGAAGAGATGTCCTCGACGGCCACGTGTGGGAGGCGTTCTCCAACAGTCACAGCTATGTGGGCCTTGTTGGACCTTGCTCGCAGCAGTGTTAGGTTGGCCCTGTCCGACAGAGGACCAAGTGCAGGTCCAATCCTCAACAGGTTATTGGGTCTTCCTCACTGCAGAGTTAGGTTGGGCCTTGTTTGACGGTATACCAAGTGCAGGCCCATTCTAGAACATGAGTCCCCCAAGTCGTTGCTCATAAGTAGATGAGTTCTGATTTTTAGGTCACCTCGAGCAGGGTCGATAAGGACGCATACATTGACTCTTAGTCCAGCATATGCAAGAAAGGGGGATGTGGTTATCCAGATCAATAACCTTCCCCGCAGATCAGTACCATTAGAGGAATTTTGCATGGATAAGAAGGATGTCGCATAAGTACCGCGACCAGAGTTAAGGCGTGCTTGCAGAGAGCATTCCCAATATTTTGTACTGTAGAGGTGTGCTCGAATACCAGGGAGTTGAAAATTTTGGTCGACGTTTTCTTGCTGGGCCACATGTCGCAGCATTTAATGCGTAATGATGGCCTAGACGTAGGGGTCATCATGGCTTAAGTGCATGGCCAACTGCGTGTCGAGGCACAGACACGCCACTCAAAGTGATGTTTCGTCTCTCGCGCAAGGTTTATGAATAGCCCTTAGGGTTTCATTTATAACATTTCACATTTGCTCTTCCCTCTCGCTTTGCTCTTCCCTTTCGCCTCTCTTCTTCTGATTTTCTCTCAGCCGTAGCCGTCGTCGTGTTCGCTGTCGCAACCTCCGTTCAACCCTTGATCAAGTAAGCATTTTTTTCTCCCTACGATTAACCATGTTTTTAGTCCTCATAATACACATGATTTAGATGAATTTCGTGTTCCAGGGAGGTTCTTCCCCGTGAAATTCATAGATTCTTGATGATCTTCATGTTCTGGGAAAGTTCTTCCCTGTGAAATTCATAGATTCATGATTTTCCCCGTGAGGTTCATGTGTTTCCCCACGAGATTCATGAGTTTCCCTGCGAGATTCATAAGTTTCTGAGGTCCATGAATTTTCCCTGTGCAGAGTTGGTGTCCTCGTCTATCTAGTCGATTTGGGCGTGCCTTTTACCGAGGGTCTCGTCTTGATTTCCCATTAACCGTTGAGCTAGGGTTTTCGGGCATCTGTCATTAGTGAACGTGATTTCCTTTATACTGACATTCGAGATCGTGTGTTGGTACCTTCAGCTTGGTGCCACAATTCCCCTATTCTCCCGCTATTTCAAAATTCAGCGACAAACTATGGACGAGAAACATAGATGGGTTTTTCTGAAGCAGCTGAAGAAAAGGTTGTTCCAGATGTTCATAGAGTCCGTTTGGGACTTTAAGGACAAATATTTCCTTTTTAAGCCGGTATCCGAGGAGGCCTTCGACTCAGTATTAGAGGAAGCGACCATGATTGGCAAGGATGGCATCACTCTCCACGACAAGAATGGGAATATGGAGACTGAGTTGATCTCGAAATTCCACTTCCACTGGTGTGTGACCCACTATGATCATGGTTCGAGTTATTACCTCACCCCAGCTGGCCCTATGGATGACGAGGACGAAGATTCCTATGCAAAACTTAATGAGTTCGTTGACAGATTTTACCCTGCACAATGGGTGACGAGGGAGGGGAAAGATTTCCTTGATGATAACGGTGAGCCTGTATTTGAGGCTCACCTAATTAACACTAAGGCACTCCTCGAGTTCCATTCTTACAAGGAGGTCATAGTGCTCCTAGGTATCTTCCCTTATTTATTTCTATTTTAGCATGCTCGCATGTATTTTCTTAATGTACTGACTTGGGCTTATTGTTTTCTGTAGATAACATGGAGGACTCTCGTGAGCATTTGCTCAAGCTGACACACGACCAGAAGAGGACCAAAAAGATAGTGAAACTTACTCGCTTTACTCCCACTCTAGACCAGGCCAAGGATGGCTCTATCACCTCCTTTTTGTCTCCGAACATCGAACAATCTCAACCCGTGCAGAGGATTTTGGGAAGAAATAAGGGTCAACCCAAAATTGATACTCTACATCTGATGGGGAGCGATTCTGATGCCCGGGATTTCACATTTCCTCCTTGCTTCGCTCATAAGGGCTTCTTCAACTGGTATCCATTGATCGTGCCTGACGAAGAGTCTACAGTCATCTGGGGTATTGATTCAGCGGGAAAGAGGAAGCAATTGGCCGAAGGTGTTGCTGGTATGATGAAGGTTTTGGAGATGGAGGTGGTCCTCTCAAGCGAGGAGACTCGCTTTGCTGTTGTGTTAGACAAACTGCAGACAGAGAAAAAGGCCCTCGAGGATAAAGCGAGCAAGATAAAAACTTCCATTGATGGTTATAAGGAGAAATTTCGGGATCAGGGCACTGGGCTTGAGAAGAAAGATGAGGAGGTGACCAAGTTGTCTGAGGCAAAGGACTCTTGGCTGCTTGAGAAGAAGCTTCTTGAGGACGCAATTTCCAGCTTGAAAGTTGTGGTGGCGCTTTCTGAGGGCGAGTCCGACGAGGTGAAATCCTTGAAGACTCGCGCTACCTTTGTTTCTCGGGTTCAGCTTCTCGGGTTGGATTATGTGGAATCAGCGACGATGGTTTTCGATACTACGATGACCCAGCTCGCGTTGCTGAACATATGGCTCAACACTGAAGGGGTCGGGCTCCAGTCCCAGGTGGTTCATGGCAAGCTAGTTCCTCCTCCTGATTCCCCCAAAATCGAAGATGATGATCATCACAAAGGATGAGGTTTTTATTTTTTTCTTGTTTGGTTGGGCCTGCATGCCCTGTTACTTGTAATATTTGGATTAGGGGCTCTTTCTGACCCTTTGGATGTAATATTTTGATAATTTCGGCCTTTTGTGGTCGGCGCTTTTAAATTCATTAAATATATGTTCATATATTTGTTTGTTGAATGCTTGGTTTGCTCATCATTATGTATGTTTACGGTGTATAATTTATGTGGAGGTTTCTTGCTTGATAGAGTTAGTGTTCGACGGTGTGGGGAACATGTCGAGGAGTCAGAGTTGGTTCCTTTTAATAGCGAGACCAAGAGCGTGGCCGGGGTCTTGATCCATTGGCGTGAACTTTCCCATCATGGGTTGGGTGTTCTACCTCATTTTGGTACTGTGATGGTGGAGCTCAGTAGAGGTGTCCCCGTCGGGATAAGACTCTACTCGTCCAATGAGTAGGAGCTCGCCTTTTTTGTTTTAGATTAGTATGATGTGTTCATACCTTAATATGCTTCAGTGGTCGGGTGTGCCTAGTTGCTTGTCGAACTGGACATGCCGACTATTAAGTCCAGACATAGTATTTATGGTACTTTACTGTAGTACTACTTTAGCTTATTTGTGTTCCATGGTCGAGCAAGTTAATGCTCTGTCAAACTTTCGAAGTAATAGGCTCTGCCTTCCGTTTTTTCCCAAACGCGGTAAAAGCCTTCCCAGTCTGCGGAAAGTTTTCCTTCGCGCGAGTTTTTATGATTTCTTTGCAGGACTAAGTTGTTGACTTAGAACTCATGTATTATGAGTTAGGTGTCGTGATGCAGAGTTATCTTTTGTTTTAATGTGCCTTGCAGAAGGCTGCCCCTGTTCGAATCTCTTTGACCAGGTCAAGCTCCTTTCTTAAGGATTCTTCATTCATCTTCTCGTCGAGGGGAGCTTCAATTCACGTTGACAGCTCTCTGATTATCTATGGGATTACTACCTCAGTTATGTAGGCTAGTTAGAATGGATTTCCCCCGTGGTCAAGTGTGGTGTCGTTCGATAGGCTCAGATAACACTGTTTAGCTCCTCGATCTACCTATTCTTGGCCTCACCCAGCCGTTGTGTTAGTCCTCACAAGATCACTCTATTCGCGGCCTCGACTTGCCCGTTTGCTTGAGGGTGCTCAACCAATGTGAAGTCTTGCTTAGTACCGAATTTGGTAACGAAGTCTTTGAAATTTTTGTTGGTGAACTGTGTCTTGCTGTCGGTGACGAGCGTATGAGGTACGCCGAACCTGAAGAGCACGTTTCTTTTGTAGAAAAAACACCATGTTTTGTGTCGTAATTTTGGAAAGGGCTTCGACCTCTATCCATTTCATGAAATAATTGACAGTGACAATCAAGTATTTATTTTGGTAGGATCCTACAGTGAAAGGGTCAAGGATATCCATTCCCCACCAA